CTAAAACAAAAGTTGCGCGTGAACTCGGCGCGAGGCGCTATCGTTGCCTCTTGATTCGACATGAATCGAGAAACACATCCGAGAAACGTCCAATCAGCGTCGAGATAAAAGTGGCAACAATCAATATCGAGAGAATCGATTGTGATTATTTACACAAGCTTTTTCTGGTAGGACACAACACAGTCGCGCGCTATGCACACGCTATTATTGCTTTTCTCTTAACGTGTAGTGTCAGTGCATTTTACTTGTCATTGCAATGACAGCTAGTATATACAAACAATTATAATACACATGAGATATACATATGTGTGAGAGATGTCAGAAATAACGCATGAAAATCAAACTCAAAAAAAAAATAAAAAAAAGAGAATAAAAAAACAATACGTGACTAAAGTCACGTGACAGGGAAAAGAGAATATTATATATATTATATATAATATATATTCTATAAAAAAGAGAATTATTATTATGTATATTATATATAATATTCTATATCTATATATAATATACACACACACACACACACACATATATATATATATACCGTAATCACGTGATCAAAGTCAGTGATCTCGCCGCGGTCACGTGAGCGAGGTCAGTGACTCCGCCAAGATCGCGCCGAGGTCATTGACCTCGCCAAAATCGCGCGGCCGAGGTCAGTGACCTTATTGTAGTATGTATATAATAAGTATAATACAATATAAAATATAATATTATAAATATATAATAAATTATATGTATAATATATATTATATATATTTAACGTTATATATAATATAAAGTACAGTCACGTTACTTTAGTCACGTGTTGTTTTTCTACTCTTTCCTGTCACGTGACTTTACTTTAGTCACGTTTATACGTTTTTCCACGTATACGACGAACTGTCAAAATCGTTTTTCTGTCATTATTTACTCTCTCGATCTTATCGATTCGATTCGACTCGATCAACTAACCAACCAATCGGCAACGCGGAAAAGAGGTGACAATAGATACAATACATTCGACTCAAAAACGCGCACTTTGCGGTCCAAATGGACTTTTTTTAATAAGGGAAACGTGAAAAAAGAACTCATCATAAAAGTCTTTGCTGCTACTAACTGATAACGAGAAACATCTTGGTATATTGGATAAAGCGGAAGAGTTAAAGGATTGACGGGACAAAGAAGCGTTTAGCGTGTGCGGAAAGGGTTAAACGTCGCCGGCTGGAAATTTCCTCGGACGACTTCCGGCAAATTGCTAGACGAGCTGGAAGTTGGTTATATCGACAGACGGGGACGAGGAAGAGAGCGCGGCGACGGCGGCAACGGTGCACGAATGCGCGCTAAATCGAGGGGGTTTAGGAAGCGTAGACGGTCGGAAGCGCGGTCGCTCTCCTCCGATGAATATTAACTCGGCAATTCGCGCTCATTTCGCTCCGAAAAGATACCCAAGCGAATTTTCCAAAACGGCGCGAGCCTGAGAACGAATCGCTAATACGCCATTAAACGATTTTCCGCGATTTGCCTCAGCCCGACGAGAAATTCTTTTTTTCGCTTTTGTATAAATATTTGTATACATACATACATACATACATACATACATACATACATATATATATATATATATATATAACGAGAACAACTTTAAAAAGAAACGCACTAAAATTTTTTAACTTTGTTGCAAATGTTTGTGTGTTTTTTTTATCGAGATCCGAAAACCCGGTAACATTCCCCCCAGGAATATGATTCGCGTTTATTCCAACCAGGGAAATGTTGGTTCGATGTCATAAAAATCTAGGGGGGAGAGGAAAAGGGAACAGGTCGTGCACACAACACTTTACACCCTGTTTTACTTGCCCGTCGGGACCAAAGCCGCGCCGGAAAAGCGACTGACTGCACCCGAACCGATCAGATCCGGCAGCGGCGGGCTTTAATTGAAATTCCGGGTCGATACGATCGTGGACATTCGATACACATATACACACACATATGTACATACGTACACGGCGGTCCTGTTATCTAGCGACGTGGAGATGAAACGCACCTGTAACGACGATTTCCGGGAGGAGTTATCTGTCCGCCGTCGCGATAAGGAAAAGCGACGAGATCGTGGGCGTGAAACGCGAAGAAGATATACACGGATGTATCTTTCAAAATCGATTTTTCGTGTTGCTCGAACGTTTTATTACCAGACCCCGTCGCGCGTTATCTCTTTTGTGTTATCTCACGAAATACACTATCTTCATATTTAGTTTTAATCCCGTTAAGAAATCCCAGACATTTCCGAGCGATTCTTGTGAAAATGAGAAAATCTTATTAACTATCTAGTGAAAAAATTTCTAAAAAAAAAAAAATATATATATATATATCAAAACTAATGTTATTTCCTTAATACAAAATGTTGAATAAAGCCTCATGAATTTTTACAGAGTGTTTGCAACGTTTTAACCAATAAAAAAATCGCGTCAAACATAAATGTCCAAGGTTTACAGGATATGTACCTAGAGAAAATATTTACAGGATTAAAAGTTAAAACTCTATAAACAGCAAGCAAATGCGCGCAAGTTTGAAATAATTAAACTAGTTGAATTTAAGTTCGGAAGTTTGGTTCTAACGTATTTTATAAATAATATTTATAAAACAATATTTATTACAACCACACACTTCGACACTATAAGAATTCAGGAAGAATCGAAAGGATATTTTTCCTTCAAGAGATACCGATAGTGTGCATCCTGTAGGATAATCTCTACACACACGTGACAGTATTATGACGAAGCTCTTTGACGCGGATATCGAAAGCGAATATCGTTTTGTCGACAATGGCGACTGACGTCTCGCAGCGTGCTTTTTGTGACAATTCATCCCTGATCGGACATTTCCCTTTCCCATTTCCTCTTCCTACTCGTTTTTGTGCCAAATGGGAACTCTCCAAAGGTGGATCTTTATGAAATAATTTGAATTTTACGATCTTGTTGGGGGGGAGGGGGAAAAGGGAAGACAAATTTGGCTAATTTAGAATCAAGAAATTTTTCTAAAATAATAGATTTTACGTTTTGACCGTATTTCACGACGATTTATTTCGGCGAGTAGTTAATTCTTAATTTAAACTCTAGTCACGTTCTCTTCGTTTTATTCGTCTCCCTTCATATTTTACTTCTTAATTTTACGCTATTTATTTAAGCAGTCTGTATTGTTGCGCTACTGAGAATCTAAAAATGGTCCGGAAATATTTATCCTGTTGTTAAATTAAAAAATGTCTTTTAAAGAATTAACACCTGCACTTGGCGCTCTCTCTCTCTCTCTTACTGATTTTTTGTTGTCTAAAATTTTCTCAATATATTGAAAATTTTGACAAAGTCGAAGTACGAAAGGATTGGATCAATCCGAACAAAAAAGTCGTTTACCATTTTGCAAAATTCGCAATAATTATTGAGTTATCAACGAATGTGAGCCATCGGTGGAATGAGCGCGTGGGAAGCAACGATCCCCGAACTCTGTGAGCGTGTATGGACTTTTAGTTGTGAAAAAAACTGGCTTATCTCACGCAATGTCCTAGGCAACGGCGGAGCAAACAAGCAAGCGGTGTTTAACACAGCTTCATGCGATCAGCTGATTTTCACGGCGATAAAACTGAAAGTCACACAGAGTTCATTCTCACGTGCTCATTGGCTCACACTCATTAATTAAACACTCGAGAAATATCGCGAACTTTGCAAAAAAAACAATGACCTTTTTGCTCATAGATTGAACCAATTTATATCTTCGTACTTCGGTCAAAATTTTTCAAACAAACTTCAAACCATGTATATGATGTACACGATAATCAACATCACTGAAAATGTATTTTCAATTCTTGCTTCTGTCGCTGTTTATTTTGTAAATTAAAGTCTAGAAATCGTCGCACACCGTCAGCCACTTGATTAGAAACGTTCCAGTTTTTTCTCAAGATAACAAACTGTTCGCAGCAGGTATCGTGCATGAGAAGTATCAAAAATGCACGAGATATTTCATTAAGAATAATTACGACAAGCTCTCGAGACACTTTTACGTGTCACCGATTCGAAACTTTTTATTACTATTATTATTACTATTATTATACGTCGTCAGCGACTAACACTGTTGTCATCGACAATAACTTGTCACTTTTAAAATTCATCTATAAAATATAGAAAACTTTTTTTTTTTTTTTAAATAAAAGTCAAGTATTGAGTTAACACAAATATCAACCGTATCAATTTTACAATTAAAGAAGCGCAAGATGCAGGAGATTGATCGAATCCGCGTTACTTTTTCGTCTCGTTCGATTTTCTTACGTACGTAAATTTTTTATTTGCACGCAAGTGTAACTTCTGTCCTCGCAATAGCAACCTGGCTAATATTGACCTGAACATACCAAGTACATACGACGGTACCCACCTATAGAGAACGACGACGATTTCGTAATATCAGATTTCTGATATCTCTGATTTCGGAACATCAGCTGTCGGAAACGGTTATGACAATTTCGAACTGCAGCACGATAAAAAAAGTTCTCGATTTTCGACGCGAAGAAACAAAAATATTTCATTAAAAACAATTCGATTTGTTAGATTTTTAATTAAGGAAGATCGATACGCATTTCTTCGATGATTTATTTGCTCTCGGAAAGTATATCTCTCGACAGAGTTCGATGTGTGATAAACAGAAAAAAAAAAAAAACAAACAAACAAACAAACTTCTCAGTGAATCACGTTTTTTTAATTATATATGTTGTCGTCGGACATCAGATATTTTTACGCAAAATTTAAGAAAAATATTTAAAAGACGCGGACAGAGCACTTTGCATTTCCGATCTCAATCTTATCGTCATCGTCATCTGTCGCGCGGTGTCTCCTTATTTATCATTACGCGCAACATCTGGTTTTTTTTTTTTATTTTTTTTATTAAACATCAAACGACAAGGAAGAGGGGCTTGAGCCCTTTAATACAGCCTTGATGGATAAATCCCATCAACTTTATCTCAAGAATATCCTGCTTACCGAGTACATCGAGAGTAATGTCAGCCTCCATATTGCTTGTGTCGTTATGTGCTTTACACGAGTATCGTCCCGCATCTGTGGCTCTTATCTCCCGCGTATAGATCGTTTGATTCGCGCTCTCGGGATATAGGATAAAATGGCTGTCACTACCCGGCCACGGGTAAGCTCTGTTATCCTTGTACCTGCGGCAGAAATAACGTAAATACATTAGAGAGAGCGGATATATAAACACATAATAAAACGGATGTGTCTAACACCAACATTGCGTGTGAAAAAAATCAACGCGCGTGCGCGCGAAGTGTTTCCACACACATCTAAAACTTATTCAACGCGCGTTAATTGAAATTAATTATACAAATGAAAATTCGAATAACAGAATATTTTTGCGTTGCGTGTTGTAAAGTAAAAGAGACGGGGGGAAAAAAACGATACACGACCGAAGATTACGAGAACAATGAGAGAACTGCATTGTTTTTCACGGAACGATGAATTATCGCGAAGAGAAAGAGTGGTCGATCGTCTTGAAAACGTCGCACTCGAGAACAAGCCCGATATTTCCGGGACGGGAATATCGATGGTTGTTCTTGAGAGCATTCGTTTCGTCGTGTAGATAAAAGTCGAGAGAACGAGCGGCGGCGTTTCTCGCCAAACACTCGAACGAAGGAAGAATCAGGAGCATTGAACCGTTCGCGAAAATAAATCGTCCGAACACCGTAATGCCGCCGCAATGAGTTCGCTAATTCATTGTTATGATTGCATCGCCATTCCGCTCTTCTATTATATCTGTGTATACATCGCAAAATCTAATATATCGGTTGTAATAACCGCAACAACGAAATATTTTTGCACGAGAAGATACGATATATCTCTTATATAAGTCGAATATAAAATAAAAACCTAGAGTAAACATTTTACAATAAAATTGAGATAAAATTCGATATATTGTATATTTATATACCAGAGTATTATTTTTACTATACTCTATATTTATTTTTATACAAGTGATTTTTATATCGTTCTTTGTTGTGTACAAATTTATTTTTTTATTATTAAAACCGCTAACGCATTCATTCTCAATTGTTGCTTTTAATTTTTCAACGAGAATTGTATTTCTTCATCGCACCTTTTAATTCCGCATCTGCTCCTCACGTTGAACGATCCTGTTACGAGAGTAAGCCTTTTTCTTTTTTTTTTTTTTTCCTCATCCTTCGGGGAAGGATCAAAGATTCGACGGCGCTTCCGCGCGAGGGAAAGAAAAGCCTCTCTACGTAATTCAATTTCTAGTGCACTAGGCAAATCCACTTTCGTTTTGCCAGCGGATCAAAGAGACATCGCGCGTGGATCCTGCGAACTCGAGAGTTGCCGCTTCGGGGGTCCTTAGATATAGAAGTTTCTTTCCTCGCTTCCTCTCCCCCCCGAATACATTTGTACGGAAGATTTTTTTTTTTTTTTTTTTTTTTTTTTTCCAAGTTCTTCGACTTCTAAATGATGATTTCGTTCCTTAAATTTCTCATGCTCGCTCGACCGGATCTCTTCGACTAATCGTATACTTCTTCATTTTTATCAACCTATTATCCGATTTGAAACTTTCAATCTCGAAGACTTCGGAGTCTCTCTCGGGTGATCGAATCTTCTGACTTTTCGCACTTTGTCTTATTAGATTATTTTTTGTAAATTATACCGCGTTCTTTACATAGTTGCGCTGTTATCTTGATTCTTAATCTTTGAATCGGTAGAACTTTGATTTCTGAACTTTCAAGGAAATGTTCAGACTTTTTACATATACACATCAGATATTATAATTTCTCTTCTCGATCTCAGATCATCTTGATCTTTAATCTTTTTTTGTGTTCGTACGTTTATACATCTCCGTACATCTCAGACTGTTTATTTTATTTTCCACGTGCTTTTCCGCGTCGTGATCACTTTTAACGGAACTCGTAGTCAACATAATAATAATAATTCTTCGCGGCGGATCGTTTTCATCCTTCTTCCACCCGAGCGAGGAGGAATCCCCGAGATCCATCACATTCATGAAATTTTCACGGACGGAATTCGCGCAACCTTATCGTCGCGACGTCGTAAATAAAAGATTTTTAATAAGCCCCGCTACGCGACCCCCGTCGTCGTCGTCGTCGTCGTCGTCGTCGTTCCTGAAGGGAACGACAGGGGACGATCGGTAATCTTGCCGCAGCCATTAAGAATTCCTTTATTAAACTACTTCCTGCATCGGCAGGACTTCTTTTACGAGCTTCTGTTACCGGTGTACTTTGAATAAGAATTTTTAATAAAGAGTACCCCTCCCTCTTCCCACTTCCTCTATCCCCCCCCTCCTCTTTTCGTTCCCCTTCTCATCCGCGACCACTCGTTTTCCTTTTCGCCGGAATAATTTCGAAGTGGCTCGGGAATCCTCTAACGAGGATTTCGCTACACGGGCGAACTTTCGAAGACTAATAAAGACAGCGAAACATTTGAGAGGATTCTGAGGAAACGAAAGTTCAGGACTCGCTCGTAAGAGTCTTTCGGTAACACGAAAACCGTCGGAAGATGTCGGAATATGACGACGGGGGGACAAGATCGCGTTGACGCCGGGGAAAACTCAGATCCGCAAAGACCTAGAGAGCAAATATTTCGAAATATACGGAGAAATGTTAAAGTTGCGAAGCGACGAAGTAAAACGGAGAAGCACTCAACAATTAGAGACATCGCGAAGGAGAAACACATATCGCGATAAAAGAAGAGTGAAGTACTTGAAATTTTTATGCGACTATTAAATTTGAACGAACACAGATTTTTGAACAACACAAATCGCGTTATTATCTTTGTGCCGAAGCGCAAAAAAAAAAAAACTATCGAACGCGGTCGGTTGTAATTCGAAACGTGCGATTCGCAAAAATGACTGTGTTTAATTATTATTGTGCTCGGGCACATGGTCCGGGTGTGCTATTATCGGATCGCGCATTATATTCGGTCGTTAAACCGCATTTCCAATATGGAGCGCATTCTGAAAATGTACAGGGATCACTGGCTGTGTCCTTAATAGCCTGAAACACGGCCGGCTCGCGTAATTAACGCGAATTTTATTTCAATGAACTTGTCCGCCGTACGCGTTAAATAATTGCTGGCTTTTCCCCAGCATTTTGAAACATTTGACGAATTAATTAATAATTCATTATCGATGATAAATGTAGACGGAAAGACAAGAGGCTCTTAATTGAAATAATAATGAACAAAAATGCTAATAGAATCACATAGGATCGCGAATCACATAGGATGGGAAACGATAGAGCTGAAAATTTTTCTCTCTCTCTCTCTCTCTCTCTCTCTCTCTCTCTCTCTCTCTCTCTCTCTCATCCTCTCTCGTTCAATCGACTAAATTATTGTACATTAAGAGTAACGTTATAACGCGTATAAATAATATATCTCCTCTTTTTACATTATAATTACGTAGATAGAATAATACTCTTCTGTCCTCGTTCTCTCTCTCTCTCTCGCTCTCTCTCTTTACATATGCATAAATTCATCTCTCAAACTAACAAGAATAAATTTAAAATGCAACCATTAAATGACACGATGAATTGCATCTTAATTTTCAGAGCTTTTGTTCGCCCAACGAAGGAGTAAGTTCTTACATTTAAACTTCAACGGAAAAACATGCCTTCTATTAAAAACCCGTTACGGCATCTCGAGCATCTGTTTGCGGAATAATTGCTTGTTATTTTCGTTGCATAAAAATTGCACTAGCAACGCAACGCCCTTTTCTACCTGTTAGTTAGATATTCGCGCAACGGTATCTAAACTTTTTCGCCGACTGGCTCATTGTGACCATAATTGGCTGTTATCCTTTGTCATTTCGAGAAAAAGCCAAAGTCCGTCGCCGCGCGCGCGTTCAATTGTTTATTTACGCCAACCGAGCGGAGTTAATGTTTTTTTTTTTTTTTTTTTTATTTCTTTGTTTTTGGTTGTTGTTGCTGTTAGAAACGTAAACCGAACTTTACGACATTCGTGTACGTTCGCGGATTACGCAATTACGCCGAGCGCGAATAATAGTTTCAGCAAAAATCCAAAGGTAAACCGCGTGTTTAATAAACACGAAAGTTACGCAATTACGTTGAGCGCGTTTTCCGACGGACAAACGTATTTTACCGAAATTTGTTTTTCTAATTTTCGCCACAGCTCAATAATTCAATACCCAGATGGAATTTCGCGATTTACGCGGCAATTTGCAGAAGAACGGAAAACGGTTTTAACGAGGCGCAGCGCGGCATAATTCGTGAGAGATCCTCATCGACGTGAATCGCGTAAACGCGCCTCATTAATTCGGCGATCCCCCCCCTCCCCTCTCTCCTCTTGATGTATTTAGTCGGGCAGTGAAACGCAAAATCGCAAATTGCGGATTACATAAATTAACTATCGAACGCCGCGCCGCGAGTCAAACGGCATCTCGAAACAAGCCGGTGGCGAAGAGCCATTCGCGATTCGCAAACGCGAGTTCCGAGTCACGGGGATATGTACAGGGATATGTGTATACAGCGAGATCGTAAATAATTTTCGCAATTGCCTAACCTTTTCGAAAACGAGGAACGGGCAAATTGACAAAGAACAAATCCTAAACACAATCCTCGAAATTCAACAGATTGAACTTCGGGCGTTGTCATCGATTTTGACACTCAAATAAATTCAATATATCGATCTTCGATATTCTTGCGAATAGTTTTTTATAATTAGTTGTGCTTTTAGCAACTAATTATAAATTTCTTATTTTTTAAATTTTGTAGTTATAAAAAAAATTTAACATGGAGAAAGCTTTACAATATGTTGTAAATGAGAGAAACTATTAAATTCTAAACCGGGGGAATGAAGTATATATCTCTCTGGGAAACCTACTCGTCGTCAATTGTGTTGAGTTTTTCTACGTCACCAGTTAAGAGTTAATCGAATCAGTCACAGGTCACGGGTCGAATAACCCGAAAGGAAGTATCCGAGAGAACTGAGTTATTCTAGGAATAAAAGAAAATGCAGTTCGACGAAGTGACGGTAGGTAGATAATTGAAGGGACGATTTAATTGAATTAGTCTCAATTTGTTCTGAGGAAGAAATAACCGAGAGAGAAAGCTGTATATTTTTATTGTTAGTTAATTAGCGGATCATATTAATTTCACGAAATAAATGCAAAGGAACT